GGAGCAAGGCCCTGCCAACACCATGGATGTGATTTTGGACTTCTAGCCTCTAGAACTGTGTCAAAACACATTTTTGAAAATGTAAGACATGTAGTTCGTGGTATCTTGTCCTAGAAGCCCTAAGATCTAATATGGGTAACATACTAAAGATACTCTCTGCCCTTTGTGTGTTTCTACAGGCTAGGAACTGAGAACTACATCTTCTGGGTCATAACAAACATGTATTTTTCATCTTAACAGCTACTCCCAATTGCCCTCCAGAGTGGCCATCAGCAGTGCGGGAGAGCATGTTTCCTCATGCCCAGGCCAACACTCGATGTTAACACTTGACATTAGCAGACAATTTTTTCCTAGCTGATGGGTAAAAAGCAGGATTAAAAAAAAAGAGATTGATTCCCTGATTACTAGTGAGGTTGAGTTTTTTAATGTTAATTTCCCATTTGGATTTCTTCTGTCAATTTTTATAACCTTTGCCCATTTTACTTTTCTATTGTTTGTTTTATTGCTATGAGTTTGAAATATTTCTTTATGCAGGAGATGATCTTACTCATTTTTAGCCACTTTTAGTTTAGGAAGAGCTGTTAAATATCAGGAATGTTTGTTGGGTTAACTGGTTGTCTTTTCAGCTTCTAGTGAGATGATCAAATGATATTCATTTGACCTATTGATAGGAGGCACCTGTAATGGAAGAGCTTTAAAAAGCAGAGTAGCTAAATATTTTATGGGCCAGAGGAATGATGTCAGTGTGGGGATTTTCAAAACCTGTTGGGAGGGCAGCCTGCTTAGAACACAGGGTGTGTCTAAGGGGGTGTGAAGGTCAAGTGTAGGAATAGGCTGAAGCCTTTGTGGGGCCTTGTATGGGGGTAAAGGGCTGGAGCTTTACTGCACAGGCGAGATGAAACTACTGCAGAATTTTGAGTAAAAGGTAATCGTTGAATTTATTTATTTAAAAAAATGATACTTATTTATTCTTAGAGAGAGGGGAAAGGAGGGAAAAAGAGGGAGAGAAATGTCGGTTGTCACACACACACACACACACACACACACACACACACCCCAACTAGAAACCAGGCCCACCATGCAGGTACGTGCCCTGACTGGGGACTCGAACCCTGAATCAAACCAGCAACCTTTTGCTTTGGGCACTGATGCCCAACCAACTGAGCTACAGCAGTCAGGGCAGTAACTGTAGAAATTATGAGATTAATATGATGGTGTGATACAGGAAGAAGAAAACAAAAACAAAGAGAGGACTTAAGTACTCAGGGGTGAGAAGAAAATGGCCTTTTGCTTGTAATGACTCTAATAAGGAAGAAAGGAAGGAAAGTAGCTAAAGGAACCGATAGGACTCTCTGATGAGTTGAGATTTGGAAAGAAGGGAACTTACTCAAGCATAAATACCAGTAAATATGTCACCGACTGGAGGCCTGTGTCAGAAGCCTAAAGTGGAAGATGACTTTTGGGTTTCAAATAAAGTTGTGCACAGTTAATTAGGAAAGCAGGAACACAAATACATATGGGGTCTTTTCTCTGGGCAGATGACATACTATTGATAGATGGCAAAGAGAAAGCATACCTCATCAACTTTAGTTTGCTTCCAGTTGACAGTGTCAAGGAGAGTGATTTTCAGATTGAAGGTGGGGTGGAAAGTAGAACAAATATGATAGCTGGAGGCAGTTCACAATGGGCAAAAAAATTACAGGAAAGCATCTCTCTGCTCTGGGTGAACTGTGCCCCAGGAAAATGAGAGAAATTTTAAATACATTTCTGAATTCTACTGTTGACCTTAGAGAAAGCTTGGAAAATGCAATTGTTGTTTTTCTTTTAAAAAGTGTGTGTGTGTATGACTGTGTGTGTGCAAAAGAAATTCTAAATTTAAAAAATGTGAACTTCACACAACTGAAAATCCATGATCTTAACGTCATTTTTCAGAGCAAGATCCTGGGATAGCGTTCAAAAGAGATGACTTACAGGCTCCTAGAAGAGAAAGTGAGGGTCATTAGACTCTATGTGGGTCTTGTAAAAAATGACTGACCACATCGTCTTCATTGATCGGCATGACCGTTAGATCAAGGAGTGCTGGTGAGCAGGAGCAAGCACCAGGAGGAAATGAACAAGGGATGCTTAGTCCAGAGGGAAGAAGGCTGAGGGAGACAATGGCTGACGTCGAGGAGTCAGGTATCTGTGGGCTTCTCGAAGGCCAATGGGTAGGATTCCTGGGACCCAGATTAAGATTCAGTACAAGGAAGAGCTATCTGACCACTTGACAGAATCCAACAGTGGAACAGGTGCTCGCTTGGAGAGTGGTTTCCCCATTGCTGCCAACCGTGCAAGCAGAAAGGGGTCCCTTACTTTTTGAAAAGTGTTCTGGGAGTGATTAATGCATCATTGTGTGGCCGACTCCAAAGTCCCTGCTGGTTTTGAGATTTTATGGTCCTAGGACAGTGCAGGTGGAAATGGGAAGGAGAAGGTTGGCAATACAGAGATGGTGTAGCTCACGGGATGGAAGGAATTGGAAGATGACAGAAGAAAAGAGAGTCATGTCATCCGATAGACTAGAAGAATTCACCATCGCTTCAGCCCCCCACACCAGGATCACCCACAAATGGTGGAGGGCCTCAAATCAGCAACTCTCATGGGCTTTGGGGAAGGTTGTCAAGGACAAAAAGTTTTAAGTAGAATTTTACGATGATCAGAAAAGAGGACAGTGCGTTGTTTGGATCCTCACCCCAGCAGGGCCCAAATCACAGGACTTCCGACGAGCAGCGCCGGGGGTGCAGGGGCAAGGTTTGTCCTCCATCCGTCTGTCCGAAGCAGGCCTAAGTGAGGCACAGGCCAGAACAAGAAAGGGGTGGAGTAATGTAAGAGGGAGGACAGGTAAAGGAAAACTGAACAGGTATGTTCATCGCAAATGGGCAACTGCCTGGGTTCCCAGGAGTCCCAGGGGGGGTACCTCTTTCCGCCGGTTCTCAGGGGAGCAGAGACAGGGATAGCAGAAGATCCAGGCTCTAAAGCTAGCTGTCTCCCAATTTCCAGAGTGACCTTGTAGATGTCATTTCACCTTTTGGCCTCCTCCCTACATACTGTCAAGCTCGAACATCCCGTTAGCCTAAAAGTGCTCTGGGCTTTCGGGAAGAGAGCAGCCCCAGGTGCATGGCGTTGCCTGCCTGTGTGCAGACCGCTTGCTGGTGCTCGTGTCCCTATTTTCACTGTTGGGGGAGGGAAGAGAAGGGTAGAAAGAAAGGGGAGAAGACATTGAGGCCAAAGTCTCTTGGCTCCGCCCCACCGTCCTAGGAACTCAGGGGACCGGGATCTGGCAAAGGGCACAGGCCGACAGCCCCACGCCCAGCAGGGCACCCAAGATGCGAGCGGACACCCTCGGTTTCTGCTGTCCCTTCAACAATCCCTTGTGTAGCACCGAAGGACGAAAAGCGAGGCACGCCCCTCCCCCACTAGATGGCACTGAAACGCCTCATTGCCGGTTTTCAAAATGCTGGAAGGAGGAAAAAAGACAAAAAAAAAAAAAAAATGGTGGAGGGGCGCTCATTTTGGCCTGCAGGCTCCATTGTGCAAAGCAGGGCGCCGGGCACTCCGCCCCCGCCCCACCAGCTCTTTACACGGCAGTGCGGCACCTCGACTGTGGAGTGAGGGTGAAACTAGGGGGTGAGCACTGGAGTGAAAGGATCTTAGGTTGCAACCTGGGAGGGAGGCTCCCAGCCTTTGCGGCGCTGTCTCACGTGAGCGGGGCGGTGGGGTGAAGCGGCGCTCGCCTGCGGCCCACCCGCCCAAGGTCCGGGGTCCCGCACTACCCTCAGAGCCCCTGCAGAGCCTGCGTTCAGCCGCCACCCAGATAAGGGCGAATCCCGCACCCAGGTTTCATCGACCCCCCCAACCCCGCCCTCCTCAAAGCGCGAGCCCCCGAGCGTTTTCAAAATAGCAGTTAAGCAGCCCCCCTCCCCTGTTAACATTCTCTTCTTCTTATATTGAAAGGACCAATTTTCTTTTTTTTCTTTTCCTTCTGAGGACAGAGGCGGAGGAGGGTGTGTGTCGGAGTGTCTGGCGCCGGCGCGGGGCTGCCAAAGGGCTGGCCGTGCTAACCCCGCGGGCCGCGCAGCCCCGGGTGCAAACGCCTGTAGCCAAGACAGCGCCGGTGCTCTCGCTGGGAAAACAAAGATCAAACACAATCCAAGACACCTGCGACCGAACCGGGTAACGGCGAACTTCTCAGCCCCTCTGAACGCCGACTCCGCAATAAGCAGTCTTGTCTTCAAAGAACCGAGGCCGATTTTACCACCCCTGGTAAAAGAGAAACAGGATTGGAGACAACATCCCTAAATTTATAATAGTGCATGTAAACATGCTACATGCCACATATATGTATATGTGCATAAATATGGATGTGGTCGGGCACATACCTATCTGGACACCATTGACTTGCCTGGTCAAAGAATAAGGCTTAAGCATTTCGTGCCTGGGAAATGGTGCGGTTTATCTTTAAGGCGGCTAGAAAAATAAGAGATGAGGCTCACGTTGCACGGATGACATCACTAGCTTTTGGCTGCGCGCTCCGTGTTCTCGTCTGTGGGTTTTAGCCAAGGCTGCAGCGCCGGGCGCCCGAGAGAGCGAGCGCGGCAGCGGCTTCCTCCGGCGCCCGCACCCGGGCCAGGCGATTTCCCAAGCCCTCCCGGGTGCAGCCTTCGCTCTCGCTTCCCGGCACCCGCCGAGCCTGAAAGGCCCCGGAGCTTCCACCGCTGGAGGAGGAGGCAGGGAGGGGAAGTCGAGCGACCCAGCCTCCCTCCCCCACCCTCGCCCTATTCACTTGGGCAACCACTGCACGCTGGGAGCCTGATCGTGGGACTCGGAGGCCGGGACGCGATTCTCTCCACGCTGCCGAGTGAGCCGGCATCTCGGCCCTGGGTGGGCAGCGAAGAAAATGGTGCAAATTGAGAGCGGCTGACCCCAGCTGGGCCGAGCAGACGCGGTGTTAGAGCGCCCGGGTTGTTTTGAAGGACCAGGGCCACCTTTGACTCGGCGCCTGCAGTATCTTCTGTGCCCCTGGGCAGCATGTTCCCGGAGCTACCCGGGAGCCATAAGAAGTGAGGCGGTGGCGTCGCCGTAGAAGCGGATCTGGAGGAGGCCGGGTGGACACCCGAGGAAGAAGACCGCGCCGAGCAAAGCGGCATGATGTTCCGGGGGCTGGTTGCCCGGCGGGCGGCGCACGGTGATCGTGCGACCTGTCCATGGTGTTGAAGGCGCCGTGCGCCCAGCTCCGCGAGCCCGGTGCAGTGCGCCCTGCCGCGTGCGCCAACCTCCGCGCAGCCCGCTCCTCGCGCCCGCCAGCTGCCGCCCAGTTCCAGCACACCCCGGGCCAAGGCTCGTCCGGTACGCCGTCTGGGTGACCGCGCCGTCGGCCCGAGGGGAGGCTTGGATGGCGAGGCCAGAGTCAGACGAACCAGGAGCCCGCAGGGAAAGGTCGACTGAGACCGCGCGCCCACGGGGAGTCCCCCTCTGAGTGCGGCGTGCTGGCCAGACGGGACAAGGGACTGGCTGGTGACCATCCATCGGAGATTTCTAAAAGACCTGACCAGAGGAAAAGAACGACTCTTTGCTTGCAGACCTGAAGAGGGAGAACTGTTGAGTGGGAGACCTGGGGGGGAGTCCGGACAGCCGGCCCGGCATCCAGAGGTTTCCTTCACTGGCCGGCCCCATCGAGGGTGTTTCAGTCCTTTCTGTCGCTGAGTGGTTCCTCCTGACAGCCCGTCCCCCATCCCAGGCAAGCCGTGCGTGTGGGTCCCGTCGCCCTGCACAGAGAAAGGCCAGCAGCCCCACCGCAGCCTCAGACACCCGGTGTTTAGTTCCCGGCGGGAGTGCAGCGGCGCCCGAAGCCGGGCTGTGTGCGGACTCGGCCGGTTGAGAGCAGTCGCTTCCCGCGGAGCAGCGAGGGGGCGGGAGGCGGTGTTGGCAGGCTCGCGGCCGCCGGAGGCTGCGCCTGCCCCGGAGGATGCCCAGGAGACCGCCGGAGTCTCTCCGGATCAGAACTTTGTAGGCTCTCCGCCCCACCCACGCAGTCCCTGGGCAGTGCACCGGCAGGTGGGGGCCGAGGGGGCGCCGCCGCAAGTCCCCTCCCGTCCCCACCCCCACCTTGGCTCGGCCACCCGTCGCTTTGTTCTGAGCCCGGGGAGGGAAGGCGAGGCTGCGGCGGATCATGCCCATAGTGTAGCCGCGAAGCGGAGGCATGGCTGCCGGAAGGTTACTGCTCTACACCGGTCTCTCGCTAGCGCTCTGCGCCCTGGGCATGCTGGCCGTGGCCATCTGCTCGGACCACTGGTATGAGACGGACGCCAGGAAGCACAGGGACAGGTGCAAGGCCTTCAACACCCGCCGGATCGACCCCGGCTTCATTTACAACAATAACAACAACTTGCCCCTCCGGGCGAGCCGCTCGCGCCTGGACCGCTGGGAGGGCAAACTCCTCCGGGCCCGGAACCGCCGGCAACTCTTCGCCATGAGCCCCGCTGATGAGTGCAGCCGGCAGTACAACTCCACCAACATGGGCCTTTGGAGGAAGTGCCACCGGCAGGGCTTCGACCCCGAGATCGCGGCCCTCATTCGAAAAGGTAAGCACAGCCGGTGAGGCGTGGCGCTGTGGCTTGCCTGGCCCAGCTAGGCCCGGCCGCCCTCTCCTTCCTAAGCCTGGCCAAGGTCTAGCAGGCCTCCTGGTTCCTGGAGGCCTCCTGGTTCCTGGAGGTCAAGTTCCCCAGGCTCCCCAGAGCCTTGGAGAGCCCTGGAGTGGCCATAACTTCGCCTCCCAATGGTTGGTGACTGAGGCTTACCTCTCTCTACCCCACCTCTTGTCTTGCGTTTGTCTGAGATTCTCCTAGTCCAGGACTTTTATCTAGGATCATACTTTGATCAGTCTCTGAAAGGGAAGGGGCTGTATAAGGTGCTGTTAGCTGAGGAAGCCCTTTAAGAGTGATGTGTTAGGGTAGACAGACTCCTAGTTTTAATTTTTATTTTAGATGTTGAACTGATTCACCAAGGCAAATTGGTGCCAGCAACGTTTGCTAAGTGCCTACTCTGCCAGGCACAGGGAAAGCACTGAGCTTATAAAAACATCAGGAGGTCCCAGCTCCTGCCCCATGGCAGCGCAAAGCCTGCCGACCAGTAGTGTCATACAGCAGTTCTTGATTTCTCCTTTTGAAAAAGTGGTTGACAAAAGTCACCCGTGTGCGTGGAATCTTGGCAGGGTGTAACAAGCACACAAAAAGTAGTTCTTCAGGTAACACCAAAGTGGGCACTGCAGAGAAAAAAAAATACTGTTTCCAGAAGACATATACAAAATACCCAGTGTAGCAAAATAGGAAAACACCTGTGTTTGCTAATGATAAACAATTTACTTGATACTTCAGTATGAGCACATACATTTTTAATCTGCTAATCGGATACAGTTTGTAAATCTTATATGATATATACTTTGGGGACAGTCCTGTTCCACTAACCCACTGAAATATTGTTTGGATGTGTATTAATGTTGCTCTTCCATGGTAGCTACATCCTGGTGTGAGCTGACGTCCTGGTTTTCTCCCCACTATGGTTCATTCTGTTCAACGATTAAACAGTGATGGTACATGGTTAAATAGTGATGGTAAACCGAAACAACGTTGTTTATCAGCTGTCTCTGAGGCCAAGATATAAAACAGTTCTTAATGTCTCAATATCAACATGCAGGTTTGATGCTGTTTTAAAATGTAATTTGTGGAAACAGGTGTTCTTTGATTTATCAAACATGTTGGAGTGGATCAGAAACAATCTTAATGAAAATGTCCGAGTTTCCGGAACGACATGCCGTGGGTTCAGACTTGGTGAGGCAGGTGCAGAGAGAGAGTCCATCTTCATGCTCATTTTGTCGGTTGTGCAGAATGACTATGGATTTTAGCTAGTTTAGCTGTGAGTGTGTCCACATGATAAACATCACGTCTGCTTCACGGTTAGGCACTTATTAGAGTGGGGCGACCCATCTGGAGCTCTGTGACTTTGTACGGGTGTGTGGGATCTCAGCCAACGCCGGAAGAAAGCAACTCGGGTTTGGAGGTACAAGTAGGGAAACACAGGAGCAAGCGGAATAGTGTTTGACCATGTGTGACTTTATAGCAGTTTTCGGCTTCTCAGGCTCATAGTGCTGTTTTATCCATCGTTTCCCGCTTTCATTAAACTGGGAAGGTGGGAAGTTAGCCGAAATGTAAGGAAGAATTCCTGTTAATCATGACTGATGAACACTGGTAGGTCTTACTGCAGGACGTTCTTGAATTTCCTGCCTTGAACATCTCCTGGAACAAGATGGGTATCCTTCCATCTGGTGTTGGTTAACCTCACTTAGAAAAAGGGGGCCGAGATTCATGGCTTCTGACGGATGTAATGAGTGCTTTGATTCCATGTCGCTCTGCTTGGCAATCTGGCTGGAAAGGTTGACTTGGTCTGTGCACCGGAGGGATTGGTTACCATAGTGACATGTTCTTCTGGTGAAGCTGGAAACACAGTGACAGGGAAAGGGATAGGGGAGGAAGGTACAACATTTTGACTTTGTATTGACTAATTTTTAATTGCAGCAGCAGAAAATGGACACGGCACAGCAGGGGGATTGAATGCACTGATACCTGGAGCTGGCAGGGCATTGTATTTCACTTCGGCTAATGCGAATCCTGTCCCCCATCACCCAAATTACAGCAGTCACTGTCAGCTGCAAGCACCCGCTCACCGTGGCTGCTGGTTAGGTGTTATTGAGATGGATACCATGCCAGCATTACCGATCTTCAGAGACTTACGGCCACCATCTTCATTTTTAACCTCAAAACATGATGTTTGGAAGCGAGAGTTTCTTTTCTAAGCAGCAGTCGACACCTATTGGAAATAAGTGCATTTTCTATTAGTGGCATTCACAGGCCATTCCAATAACACACAGCATGTAATTTTTTAGATGTAATTAGTATTCTTCCTAGATGGGCAGGTTTTAGAAGGAATTAAAAAAAATAAAATTAATGTCCTTATATTTGGTTTGCAGGCTGCAGCTCAGTCCATTGAGCCACACCAGTCAGGGCTATTTGTTTGTCTTATTGAACTATAAGCTCCTGGAGGGCAGGAAAGACAGTCACTTGTAAAATACAGCTGCAAGATACACACTACTTGGGAAATAGCTCATACAAATTAAGTTCGCAGAAATATATCCATCAAGCGCTGTATCTAATTATAGGAAAACTTGTGTGGAAATCCAAATAAAGGATTACTCAGAAGATTGTGATAAAAAAAACCCACCTTGAAGAACTAGTATGGCTCTCAGGCAGGTTAATATTGTAACAGATTCTACATACTTTAAGAAGGAAGATTTTTTTTTTGTTTGTTTGAGCAAAAGCTTTGTTAAGGAATAAGGGAAACCCAATTGGAAACCCAATACTTTTTTGGATAACCTATGTCACAGAACAGACACAAATCACCCACAATCATTATTTTCCTCACCAGCTTAGATCTCAGTTATTTCTGTGTTGGAGGCTGGGTTGGGAAGAGGGTGCACAAGGGCAGCGTACCCTTGAAGTCCCATGTGACTGGTCCATAATCGGGTCCTCTCTCTTCTTGCTTTTCAACCTTGTCCATGTCTCCCTAGTAAGTCACTGCAAACACTGGGGACAGGTCAATGACAGGATCAGTTTCTGAAATCCAAGAGACTTCCAGGCCTTCAGGAGCAGCTACAGGTAGGATTTTGTTCCAGAGAACATGGATATTCTTTGATTTGTGCTGAAATGCTATACTGACACGAATTGAAATAAGTAGACCTTCAGCTGAGATTCTAAGAACTTTTAAAATTGTTTGAGAGCAGGCCTTATAAAAGAATCTACCTATATTGTTTCCATAATCATGGAGTGGTCATTAGTAGCCTGAAACTTACTTCAACAAAGCATTGTGCATGCCCACCAATTAATAGTGTACCCAGCAAATATTTACTGTGCGTGTACTACGTGAGGGTCACCCATCACTAGGATGAAGTGTTGAGTACAATCCCGCGTTTAAAACTCCCATAGTCTGTGGCATCACAGGGAATGGTTGACAACTGCTGGATGATAAGAGCGACAGCAAGAGACAGAAAAACACAGAGGAGGCAATGACAGATTGTGCCAGCGGCGGGATGAGGCCAGCCAGCAGGGGTGGGAGGCTGCTTGTCTTGGAGGAATGAAGTCTGAACAAGGTCTTCCGTGGAGTTTGGAGGCGGCTGGAGAGGAATGGCATTTCGGGCAAACAGGCCAGCATGTGCGCAGCGGTGGGGTGTGAAGCAGTAAGTTTGGCCTTGTGAGTGTTGATTGATGGGATGAGGGAGGGGGTAGACCGGGAGCAGGAGGGCAGGCCAGAGCCGAGTCAAGGGGCCTGTGCACTCAAGTCCCTTACAGCCGTGCTGCCCCGGAGGGTGGCCACCCGTCACATGTGGCTGTTTCAATTGAAAATAATCAACATTAAATACAATTAAAACACCATTTCCTTAGTCACACTGGCCACATTATAAATGCTCAGGAGCCATGTGTGGTCAGTGGCTATCACATCGGACAGTGCAGACTAGAGAACTCAGCCATCAGCACAGAAGGGTCTGTCGGACGGTGCTGCCCGGGGCCCGTAGCCCCTGTAAAGAACAAGCACATGCTTGGTTTCAGATGAGGATAACTAAACACGATAAGTTGTGCTTAAATTTAAGAATGCTCTTCTATACTTGAAGAAACTTTGCTACTTGAGTGTTCGGGGGGCAAGGTCTTCGATTTATGCTACTTCTGTATTTTATTAATTTTCCATCATTGGCTCTGAGCATTTTCACATATTTCTCTCTTTTTCTGTCCTTTCCTTGCCCCAGCTTCATTACAACTAACTGGCAAAGTTGACTTGGTGGGAAAGATTATGAATAGTAATCATTGACCATCTGGATGCCCGGTATTCTTCTAAGAATTTTACATACACTAGTTAATGTATTTTTCATTATGGTCTGAGGTGACTACTATTATTTTTTAATCCCTATTCTAAACCAAGAAAGCAGAGGCACCGAAAGGTCAATGAACTTTCCAGGTCTCAGGAAAAGGAAATGAAGGTGTCAGGATATGAATTTGGACTGCAGGTTTGGAAACTCCCTCCACTGTATTCTATTCTCACCATTGTCTGTTGGGGCAGGAATGAGGTGCAGAACCGGCTGGTATATTGATCCCCCAAATTGAAAAAGAAATAGGAAGCAGAAGCAGTTTCAGAATCCCACCCAGGTGAGACTTGCTTGAGAAGTTCATCTTGGCACTGAGGAGATATATATATATATATATATATATATATATATATATATATATATATAATAAAATATATCTTTAGAGGGAAAGGGAAGGAGAGAGGGAGAGAAATATCAATGTATGGTTGCCTCTTGCATGTTCCTTGCTGGGGACCAGCCTGTAACCCAGGCATGTGCCCTGATTGGGAATTGAATGGTGATCATCTGGTTCACAGGCCTGCTCTCAAGCCACTGAGCTGCACCAGCCAGAGTGCAGGAGGGAGATATTTTAAAGTGGCCCACTCCTTGTTCTGAGAGCTGCTGACCAAAGCTCAT